GGTTTTAAAGTAGGACATCGTACGTATTTTTTGGTTTTTTTTGCTTTCAAATCCAAGTGATTTCTTTGATCAGAGCATTAACAACCTGATTGTAAGATGGAAAAGTATCGTTGATAAGAATAGAGACTATTTCATTAATGAATATTTTGTTTTGATATATAAGTTGTTCGGGTTTTTTCATCTAAAAAAGCGACATTTATTTCTTGACTGCCTAGTACCAATCAGCAAACATCTTTAAGTTCTATTCTTCACTAGAGTACGTTTAGAGCTAAAACTATTACGTTATGTTTTTAAATGTGTTTAATTTTCATACATTAAGGCCAATGATAAAGGTTTCTACACACGAAATGTTTCATTACCCTTCGATGGAGCATCCCAACCATTCCAGTCCAATCTCCATTTGCCAAAGGCAAGCCCCACTGATGATCGACGGGAATGTGAAGCGAATAACTGAAAGAAAAAATTTAAACATATTTTGATAAGCAATTATTTACACTCTACATTGCTCTTTAACGCTGTATGTAGACAAATATATGTCAAACGCATTTATTTAAAGAAAATGGTATAAAATATGCACTCTCACGACACCGATGAAGGCGTTAAATAAGTGATAGCTAGTATAGCAAATAACAAAAAATGATTAAAAATTGCACAATAAAGTATAACGTTCTAATCAAACGCCGCTTACAACAAGTAATACAAGTTGATTAAAAAATAGCACAATAAAGTACAACGTTCCAATCAAACGTTGCTTACAACAAGTAATACAAGTTGATTAAAAATAGCACAATAAAGTACAACGTTCTAATCAAACGTCGCTTACAACAAGTAATACAAGTTGATTAAAAATGGCACAATAAAGTAATACAAGTTGATTAAAAATAACACAATAAAGTACAACTTTCTTATCAAACGTCGCTTACAGCAAGTAATAAGATCTGATTAAAAATAGCACAATAAAGTACAACGTTCTAATCAAACGTCGCTTACAACAAGTAATACAAGTTGATTAAAAATAGCACAATAAAGTACAACTTTCTTATCAAACGTCGCTTACAGCAAGTAATAAGAGCTGATTAAAAATAGCACAATAAATTCAAAAAGCTTCCTATCAAACACCACTTTTGGTTATAAATATTTCTATGTAATGTGTTATTTAGATTCAATGATCTTTACAACTACCATTGTCATTCAGTGAAACAACTTAGGATCTATATACGTTACTTTTGGAAAGTTCATTTTTAAAGAGTATTTTATTTTATTGTTAAGGGTTTATTTCAATATAAAAAATAACACAGAATGAAACTTTGGGTGCTAAATCTTAGATGAAATCTGTATATGTATTAGCTAATTTCACTTTCCAATCAGCCCCACTCCCCAATAGCTCAGTGGTAAATCTATAGGCTCACGACGCTAAAAAATCAGGTTTCGATATCTATGGTGTGTGGAGCATAGGTATAGCCCATTGTGTAGCTTTGTGCTTAAAAACGACCAAACCTTTCAAATCAGAAAGAGAGAAACTGGAATTTTCTTTTCTTTTTTTTAACAGTTGAAAAGTAATAGAATTATATTAAACAAATTAAATGCCTTACTGAGTTCGAAGAAATAAAAGTAAGCTTATTTTACTTAACTTTCCCTGTAAATATGGGAAAAAACTATTTTGTTAGATAATAACCTCTTTAACTGACGATTTTGTAGCGTTATTTAGGCAGACTCCTTTGAAATTGTTCGCAGCAAAGTTGGGAAATGCTCGCGTTATTAAACTTTTTTCCTTCTAAGTGCGCCAAACAGTTGTTGCATTCTACAACCAATTTTAGTGATCCCAAATACTCTTTTACAATAATGATCACAAACAAAAGCATCTAACCGGCTATATGATATATTATATATACCAACAATTAAATTCTAAATAAATACTTTAAATCATACACTCTATACCACTCAATCCAAACAATATTATTATACACAGGTAATGAATAGGTGTTTATAAAACAGTCAAAGTTTGAATTGAAACTACAGTGGTGAGCCAACTATTAAACTGTTCGAAGAGGAGATATTACGATGAATGGCACAAAGGTTCACATACACAATGCCAGAAAGGTCCAGCACCAATATAACAGAAATTAATTAAAACAAAAATTATACGATATGAAATCAATGTTTTTTGCTTTTTTCTAGCGCTTTCGCAGTTTCTATACCGTTAAAATTCCCTCCATTTTTCCTGCACAATTTTAACAATGTTCCATTCGCTCTAGAACTTGATGAAACGTGGTCACCGATAGGGTATATAGCTCAATAATTAAAAGTACAAGAATAGCATATATATACGCTGAGAAAATTAAAAGTAAAGTAAAATTACATCAAAAAATAAGAGAACTTTAAATAATTGTCTCCTTTTCGTCAAAGTCCACATAGATGGATTCAATTACTGTGGAACACCCTATAACAAGACAAATTATTATTTTTATCTCTGGTAGACTGGGAAACTCATTTTAAAATATCGCCCATTACAGCTAAACTAACAATCACGCAATCTACGTCGGTCTAATTATCTCTAACTTAAAATGCTTTCTGTATCTGCACGCATTTACAACACGCGACAGAAAAATCTAGAAATATCTAGCCCTCTAGTGATAACAATAGTACGCACAACCATAAAAACTTAGAAGCTTCGAGTAAGATGACGTCAACAATATTACGAAAGCCCAGTACAGCAATTAAACTGCATAAACAACGTACAACTCGTACAGAGATATATAACAAACTTGTCAAAATAATCTTTTTAAATAACTTTTAACACTCTTGTTATGAAAACTAAATAACCATTAAATATTAAATAAACTAAATAAAAAGTCTTATATATTCAACAATAAGCCCCTCTTCAATAAAAATATTTACAATATCTTTTTATACTACATACAAAGACATACGAAGTCTCCTCCTATGGTCTGCATAAATATATTACGCCATAGTTAGTCTCACGTGTTAAAGTTATGGTTTTGGTTCTACATGGAAAATTAACAGCATTTTTTCTGTCGACTGTAAAGACTGAGGTAATAAAAGAATTACGTAGGCGAGGAAAATAGAAAATAGTATAATAGTGTAAAGCTTGCCAAATTAAAATAATTTTATTAGTGAACACGAAAAGAACGTTTCAGGCAACATTCCTTAACCGGGTTTTTAGTGAGACTAAAACAGTTATTTTAATTTGGCGAGATTTTTACCATTATTATATTTTATAAAGGTTGAGGTTTCATAGAAACGAGAATGGTAGTTGTTCTGACCCAGCCTGTTCTGCGCAGTAAGCTCAGTTCAACAGTCAAGTTGCATTTGCCGCCAACACCCAAGTGAAAATATTTGCATTATCTGCAATCAATAACTTTTGTCGCCTAAGTTTCATGTAAGTTGAATAAATATTTCTACCGAGTCTAGCAGCGTAAATTTGTAATAATGTCTTTAGAAATATTAAGAATTGTGGTGATCGATAAGATGTTAAATGTGGTAGAATTTTTAATAATGATCTTGAAAAACTATTAAATAAGACTTACTCTTGAATTAAATATATATAATACGTACCAGTGTTATATGTGTTCATGAATAGATATATGTTTTATGTTCTTTCAATTCACTGATTGTAGTATTCATTTTTACGTAAACTTTCTCGAATTGGTGGCTTATGAGCCTTACCCATGACTGCATAAAAATATTCAGGAAATAAGTAAATTTATTTGTAAAAAGTGGACGTCAAACACACGACTCAAAACAATTCCATTAAATAGTTGTAAAACAAAAATACGTATAAATATTTAAAAATAAACCGTAATATTTATGAAGTGTATGAATTAGTAAGACGACTGACAGCTTATGAGGTTTCCATGTGTCTATAGAAACATACAGAAATAAGTTTTACACGTACACAGTGAAATAGCATGTGAGTATAATATCCAAATTTTACAACAAAATAAAAAGATGTGTTTAAAAAGCCATTACTTCATTCTGAGTACATATGAAAGTACATGTTAAAAGAATAAACAATACTCCATACTAAGGATAATTATTGTTTAAATAATATGTTTAAGATTTAAACATTGGAGCTTATTTTCTAGTGTTAGTCACATATAACAAATATATTGTCTCATTTCAGTAACAAATATTTTCTCGTATCTCCATAATTTCAAATACCCAAGTTTCTAAGTGTTTGGAAAGAATTTCTCACCTGACTCTAAGGTTCCGTGACAGGTAATATAGGACGCTTGCCATTGGTCCACATAGCTTTACGGTGTCGTTTTTTTCTTCAACATTGACATACGGCAGCCACTGAATTCAACAAAGCAATTGACATTTACCATAATATGTTTCTTCAGTTCGTGGATATTAAAATTTAGGTAAAATAAAATTGTAATAGCTAAAGTACAGCTTATGTTAGAGTAATGAAAGCTTAGAACAGTTTTATTAAGTAGAGCATTTTTTCACCTTTTAGTTTAATGTTTACATTGTTCTTGTATTACAAAAGATTTCATTTAGATTATCAGATATTTAACAGCGTTAAAAATTAGTTTCTAGGCCGAAGTCTAATTTTTGTACTAAAAGGAATGCAGAAAATTGTAAGAGGTATTTGCATAAAATTGAACATGCGGATTCAGGAGCTTATTGAAAATATTTGATCAGACATTCAGTTTAAAAATCATTAATAAATATGATTTAAGTGTAATTAAGATTAATTCCAAAAATTATTCCATTAATATATGAAGGATTAATTTGAAAGAATTTCATTTTAAGAGATGATCATTGCTATATATTTCGTTACGTTTCTAAAACTAAAATAAAGCAAATTATCGTTATTTAAGCTAAACTACAACTGACAGGGCTGATTGACCAATATATAAATACTTACTGATAAGTCTATTTGTATCTTATATTAATTTTATGTAATGTATATTTGGTAGTGTTCTCAAAAAGCTGGATTAGACATACCGTTGGATTGACTTAAAAGTGCCCACTGTAAGGAACTGCAGATCTTCTGGCCGCTTACAAGAGGACTCAAGTGAGTAGTGTAAAGAAAATCACCAACCCCAAGATATATTTCAAAAAATGTGATCCCATGATTAGGATTTCATTAATGAAGATAATTCTTTGTCTATCACTTGTTGGTGGTTTTTACATACTGCATGGGTCGATCTTTCACCTTACTAGAGTTGCTTTGAGAATGAGTTATGCCGAATAGGAGAAAATGCAACATCAATTGTTTATGGGCCAAGGATGATCATCTAACCTAACCTCGTGTCTATTTCAAAATGCATTGTCAGAAAACCTGAAGCACCTTTCAGAGACTGACAGGTTATCTTTTGCCATAGGAAATCAATAAATACTGTCTCTTTTTCACTGATGATCAGGAGATGCTATTAAACAAAACATTATAGTGTATAAAAGCCTCTGACACAACTACTTGGCTGTAGGGATACAGGCCTGCTTATCCATGTCGTTTAGCTATCGGTAAGGTCAGTTGTATCAAAACCAAGTTGGTTTCTACTATTGGTGATTTGAGCATTGATGTGTAACAAACGTGGAATGCAACCACATCATGTGCAAACATGAAGCTTTGTACAAGAGCAAATGATATTCAATGTGAGCTGAAGAAACTTTGGGAACCTCAAAATAAAGAGATTAAAGTCTAAGTGAAGGTCCCCTATAGAGAAGAATTAATTAAAATGGTGAGAACCATTCTGGAGTAAGTAACTAAAATGAAACAAAGAATATCCCCTATATGAGCCATCTGGGCCCTGAAAGTAATCTTCACGATCTATTTAATAAAAATGTAATAACAAAAATATTAAAAGTAATAAAAATAGATATATTAGATATTTTAACCAATACTGTTAATGAAAATAACATTAAAGAATTAAGAAAGTTTACTTAAGAACACACAAACAGTAGTTGGTAGCTTCGAATAATGTCATACATTAATATTCTTGAACATCTTAACATCAGTATAATCGTGTATAAACAAAATTTGACACAATTCTCCCTAAGAACGTCATATAACTAGCGAAAGCTCATTAAATAGTTCCGTCAGTGTAACTTCTGAGATAAATTGCTATGACACATGTCAAGCGTAAAGTCAAAAAGCAGGATAGTACAACCAAAAACCAATGTTGATGAATATACAAAATAAGAAATATGAAGTTAAATAAATACCTGAATCGTACAATAAATAGAATATATCTACTATAATTATATATATAATCAAGTTAAATGTGATAAAAATAAAAACGATACATTAAACATACTATGAAGTGTGTCAAATACAACTTGTCTAACATCAACTAATTTCTGTCACTTAACAAAAACACACAGAACAATTGAAAAGTAAACGGACCTGAGAAAGTTAAATCTATAATAATATAATGGTGTGTGTGTTTGTGTGACAGCCATAACTTTAAGAGGAAAGAACCTAGAAACCTGAAATTTTGCACACATACTAAGTGGCTATGAAGGTGTGCACCTGAGTATTATTAGTTATCCACGCATCTTTTCGTGGGGTAAGCAAGCGAAAACCACATAAAAAAGAATATGTGATTGTCATAGCTCCAAGAGGAGAGAACCTAGAAATCTGAAATTTTGCACCCATACCAAGTGGACCCTGAGGGTGTGCACCTGGGTATTATTACTTATCTTATCCACGTGCGCATCTTTTTAAAGAGGCAAGCTAGCGAAAAACCACATAGAAAAGAAATAGTTACTTATATGAAAACATCTAATATATATAGAAAAAACAGTGCGTTTTGATAACACTGCGTTCCAACAATATTTTTTATGTCATGTTGGAACGTATTGTTAACAACAAAAGTATATCCTAATATTGTTGTTAGTCTATGTACTGAAAGTATAAAATGAAATTTATAAACTACAAAACTGGAAAAATGTTTGTTGATTTATTAATTTAGTGTCCGTTGATTACAGAGGTTTGTTTTTTATTAAAAACTTTGGTGATATAACAGATAATACCTTAATTCAGAAAAGATTTCAGTTTAAAAATCAAGCGTGACGTGATGTGGCACACGCTGGCTTTTATATAGCTTAGATAACGTGACGTATAGTGGCATCTATAATTATCTATAACATAGTCATCTAGAATATATCAATCTAATGATCCGAGCGAGCAGGGTACTTTCGGTAGTATTGATAATAATATTTTTAAAAAAGGATCAACAACAATAGTAAATATAGCAATAGAAATGATTTTCAAAAACTAATCTAACTTAACTAATAATGTAATGTTATACCATATATGAAACTCTTATATTAACTATATACAGTGGGGCTCTAACAATACAATATAGTGGTTCAACGTTACCTTAAACAATTTCTAAGAAATTAAAGTGTAAATATAAACGTTTTTGAAATGTCATGATATTCTGTTTTGTTTTGTTTTTTGAATTTCGCGCAAAGCTACACGAGAGCTATCTGCGCTAGCCGTCCCTAATTTAGCAGTGTAAGACTAGAGGGAAGGCAGCTAGTCATCACCACTCACCGCCAACTCTCGGGCTACTCTTTTACCAACGAATAGTGGGATTGGACCGTCACATTATAACGCCCCCATGGCTGAAAGGGCGAGCATGTTTGGTGTGACGGGGATTCGAACCCGCGACCCTAACCACCTGGCCATGCCGAGCCTCATCAAGAAAGATTTGTTTTCCGTTACTAGGATGTTCGCTTTAGTCCAACCTGTATGGCATATCATTTTCAAGTTTTTTTATTTTTCTATAATACCAAGAACATCGCTAAATTACTTGCTACATAACAATAACATATTACATTAATGCTACTATAGACATTTATGCATACATTTGAATGTGTAAAAATAAAGTAAAAACAAAACCAAAAACAAAAAAGGATAAACGACCGAACAAGTAAAACACCGAACAATACAATGTACTAATGTAAAATCACGTGCGAATCGTACGCTGTTTAAATATTTATTGAAAATTATATATATATACATACATCGATCAGACATTTTGTATTAAACAACATTAGATATAAACAAAAACATCTCATCTCTTTTATTAAAGAAGACCGAATGATACTTTCTCCTTCGAGTTCCCCAGAAATGGACGTGGAAAATAACTGTCTAACATTTTAATATTATCTACCGCACCTGATTAAATTATAAATGATTCTTAATTGTTTTGTTGTTAAGCACAAAGCTACACAATGGACTATCTGTGGTCTATCCACTGCAGGTATCGAAACCTTGTTTTTAGCGTTGTAAGCACTCAAACTTGCCACTGAGCCACGTGGTTCTTAATAGTCGATATGACCGCGCGTGCTCCAAACCGGAATAAATGAGGTAAGGTATGGGGTTTTAATTCGTCTTTAACGAAAGCTTAAAGAAAATATTATGAAAAATATACATTTTCAAGACCAATTATTAGAATTACAAGATTGATAAAACTACTACTACTATAATGATATTTTTAATACATGTAATTTATACTTGAAACGGTTTAATGTTTTCTACGTGTCGTCTTTTTTTTTCTAATAAAAATTGCTGGAATTCACTTTCAAACATTCACAAAGGTTTTTTAACTCGAAAATGTACTGTTGGAAATCCAAAATAATTCACTGCATTGACCGATCTTATAACACGAAGGCATTGTCTTTTTTATTATGAAACATTACAAACAGCAAACAAAAAAAAAAGATGCAAGGTAGAATAAAAGCCAAAAAAAACATGTTTTAAAATATCTATGGGGTTTTGAGTCTTAAAATAGTTTGGCAAAAATAAAACACGACAACTTCGAACAGTGTTATTTTAGAAAAATTGAATCTCTTTTGTTCTTCTGACGTCAGATTTTAAGACTGTCTTACTGAAAAAAAGTAGCATTGAACATTGACACATTGGCCTAATATAATAAGACAAAAAATGTGCTTTGCCGTTTAACAGAAAATGTTTCAGCTTACGTATCCAAGCTGCTACACGCTTGTTAGTGATATGAAAGTAAAGGCCCTATGTGTGTCCCAGAAGATAAGATGGCTAGAATCATTTGGATAGATTTGGAGCACAGGAGTCCCAGAAGGGAAGATGGCTAGAATCATTTGGATAGATTTGGAGCACAGGAGTCCCAGAAGAGAAGATGGCTAGAATCATTTGGATAGATTTAGAGCACAGGAGTCCCAGAAGAGAAGATGGATAGAATCATTTGGATAGATTTGGAGCACAGGAGTCCCAGAAGAGAAGATGGATAGAATCATTTGGATAGATTTAGGAGCACAGGAGTCCAGAAGAGTAAGATAGGACTAGAATCATTTGGATAGATTTAGGAGTCACAGGAGTCCAGAAGAGTAAGATAGGACTAGAATCATTTGGATAGA